ACTTTCTATTGACATTCATTGAGTCATTGAATGTACTAATTAGAATTTTAATGTGAGCAATCCCCCCTCCCCTCCTTTCTTCTGTATCAGGAAAAGAAAATAGTCTGCACCTACCCTCCCCAGGTTCCAACCCTGCCTATGACTTAGTCCTTAGTCCAGTACCAATGGTCCTTTTTAGGACAGAAGAACACTCTGTTTTTTGCCCATTTTCTGTGAGTTCAGCCAATCTTTTACAACCTACCCCATCTGGGGAGAATGTGATCATACAGGCTGTGCTCACCTTACACCAGGACTCTGCAGCATTCATTTCATCATGTATGTACTGTTTAGTCCTGAAGAAACCTCCTGTGACATCGCAGGGCAAGCTAGAAGGCTTAAAGAAGAAAAGGTATGTAAAGGGTTAAAAAACAATTGATCAGGAGTGGACTTTGGACCATGGCAGGTTAGAGGTTTAATGCCTGGGGTCTGCTTAAAATAGTTCTTAAAGGTTAGATAAGAGACGCTCCTACTGGTTGCAATAGAGACTGATATAGCGACATTCCTGTGTGAATACACGTTCTGCAAAGTTTCATTATTCATTTCAGAAAGGTTCTTCATTCGTGAAAAGCCACTTCCAACCCCCAAAGAGTACACCTTTCACATCACCCGGAAAGGGAAGGGGTTGCTCTAAACTAGGTGAAAAATAAAGGTCACTTTAGGTTGGGCTACTGCTCACAGGTCCTACTACCTGGGATGCTCCAGCAGAAAAAGCGGGCTATGCACACATCTGGTGTACAGGTTCATTGGCCGACATATAACATGGCTGCTCTTACTTCTGATACAAAGGTGAATGGTGGTACTAGATGGGTCCTTCTCTTCAGATGATGTACTGGTGCAGGAGCTAAACCTAACCTTGATGATTAACTTCTTCAATTAATCTGAAATGAGCCATTTTATAAAGTGGGGGTTGGTTATATCACTAAAATTTGGTGACATAGTGATTTTAGTCCTGGCTCACACTGAAAAGAACAAAACAGGGCGCACTCTCCTCGTGCTTTAATGTAATAATGTGAAATGTATTTTAAAAAAGCAAAAACATACTCAAGCCAAAAAGGTCATAAAAACTGAGACAAGAAGTTAAAGGATGCCAGTCGTGGACAGCATGGGGTTTATTTACTAAAGCTGGAGAGTCCAAAATCAGACTCCCTTCTGCATAGAAACCAATCAGCTTCCAGGTTTCATTGCCAAAGCTTCATTGAACAAGCTGAGGTTAGAAGCTGATTGGTTTATATGCAGAAGGGAGTCTGATTTTGGACTCTCCAGCTTTAGTAAATAAACCCCCATGCGTCCTCTGGTTTACCCGAGGACCCATGGATTTACCCGAAGACCCATGCTGTCCACGACTGGCATCCTTTAACTTCTTCTCTCAGTTTTTATGACCTTTTTGGCTTGTGAGTATGTTAATGTGAAATGTATTTAAAAAAGCAGAAACATACTCACAAGCCAAAAAGGTCATAAAAACTGAGACGAGAAATCAAAGAATGCCAGTCTTGGTCAGCACGGGTCCCCTGGTTTACCCGAGGACCCATGGATTTACCCGAGGACCCATGCTGTTTACGACTGGCATCCTTTGACTTCTTGTCTCAGTTTTTATGACCTTTTTGGCTTGTGAGTATGTTTTTGCTTTTTTAAATACATTTCACATTATTACGGTAATGCATGAGGAGAGTGCGCCCGGTTTTATTCTTTTCTGCTAGCGTCGAGATTCCCCGATCTACCAACGACGGCACCTCGGCAAGTGCAAGATTCCATTTTAGGTGCAGCAAGAGAGATTTCTGGTTATGCTTGGTTCACACACTGATTGCAACTTTGAAACCGCGCTACTTCACTTGATTTCACATCACCCGGAAAGGGAAGGAGTTGCTCTAAACTGGGTGAAAAATAAAGGTCACTTTAGGTTGGGCTACTGCTCACAGGTCCTACTACCTGGTGATTTGACTATTGTAACTCCCTCCTCATTGGCCTATCTCATCGCAGTCTATCATGAATGCTGCTGCCAGAATCATCCACCTTACTAACCGTTCCATATCTGCTACCCCTCTCTGCCAATCCCTCCACTGGCTTCCCGTTGCCCAACGGATAAAATTCAAAACATTAACAATAACATATAAATCCATTTATAACTCTGCCCCAAATTACATCAACGATCTTGTCTCCAAATCTCACCCAAACCGTCCTCTCCACTCCTCGCAAGACCTCCTGCTCTCTAGCTCCCTTGTCTCCTCCTCCCATGCTCGTCTCCAGGACTTCTCCAGAGCTTCCCCCATCCTCTGGAACTCTCTACCCCAATTTATCAGACTATCGGCTACTCTGCTCACTTTTAGGCGATGTCTGAAAACCTATCTCTACAGGGAAGCCTATCCTGCCCTCAGCTAATATTGGAATCTTCTACTTTTCCAACCAGTCCATCCCCCACAGTTACTACCTTTTTGTACCACTAGCCCCTCCCTCCTAGATTGTAAGCTCCCAGGATCAGGGCCCTCCTATCCATCTTGTATTGAACTGTATTGTTGCTGTCTCCCGTTATATTGTAAAGCGCTGAGCAAACTGTTGGCGCTATATAAATCCTGTATAGTAATAATAATTTCAAATCCACAGATCAGTGCAATTTGTATCTCTGATTTCACTGTGGCTTTCAACTTCATTAACAGACGTCAACAAAATCGGAAAAACGTGCAGGAAGTCTGGAACAGATTTTTTTTTTTTTTTTTTTTTTATTCCACGATCAACATTTTTTTAAAATCCACACCGATTAGGACAGTGCCATAGAAATACATGAGATGCGACGTCAGGTGCGATTTGTAAATCGCATGTTGCACCCGAAGTGGCATCAGTGTGAACCAGGGCTCAGAGATCTGTCACACTGCAGTCCTCATCAGTACAAGAGATGTGGATAGTCAACAGCAGACAGCTGCAAGGGCCTTCAGTGGAGGGCCAGTAATGACAGCAGATGAATGTATTCAGGAAATAACAGCCTTCCCCGGTATTTACATTGCTGAACTCATTCCTGACACATCTATAAGTAAGCAATCATTTCTCCCTATCTTTTAACTTGATGTTAAATGTCTGCCATGTTTGTATATTTGGTCATGTTTAAAGCTGAACTTCCCTTCAGTTTTACACGGTGGTACCGACTCCTCTCCTGTTCTGCATTTGCTTGCTCTGATTACACTGCACACTGTGAGCTTCTCACATCGTACTTTAGAAGTCAGAGTGTGCCTCATTTCTTGGCTGGAGATTGCCCAGCATCATCTAGCCATTTCCTCCCCAGTCTGATTGTCCCTGGCCTGCCCCATTTACCAACTGGATTTCAGGTCTTATTGTCGTGGAAGCTCAGCATCACATGCCTGCCTAGGAATGCTCACTCCTCCAAACTGACAGTGACCCATCAAGGCATTTTGATATTTGCATAACTCTTCCCAAGAGTCAGCCCACTGCTTGTATCAGTGCTGAGGTCTGCATGAGAATGCATGTGATCAGCACTGTCCAGACAGAGGTCAGGGGTTCTGCATCCTCCTAAAGCAGAAAGAAATTTCCTACTACAAGCTTTAACCAGTGCTCTGCTGGACACTGATATAAGTCACAAGACTGCTCTAACTGCTGATGAGAAAAGGTATTTAACAGTTTATATTTACTAAAATAATTGCATTTCCATGTTGTGTGTACTGTGGGAGACCGGATATAGTGAATGCGGGGTCCGGGGAGACCAGATATAGTGAATGCGGGGTCCGGGGGAGAGCAGATATAGTGAATGCAGGGTCCGGGGAGACCAGATATAGTGAATGCGGGGTCCGGGGAGACCGGATATAGTGAATGCGGGGTCCGGGGAGACCGGATATAGTGAATGCGGGGTCCGGGGAGACCGGATATAGTGAATGCGGGGTCCGGGGAGACCGGATATAGTGAATGCGGGGTCTGGGGTTTAGTAACCCTTTAAGACCTCATACACATGGAAGCTTAAATGCCGAAACATCTTCTAGTGTATCTTCGGTACTGTCCCCCACCTGGAGAGCCACAAGTGCCGTGTCCAGCCATACTTGTGTAAACGCCGGTCTCTTCTGTGTCAGTAAATGTCAATGCAGATTCCTGCCAGTGTCCACCTGTGTAAATGGGTCCTTATTGGTTAGATTATGTCTTTGCATCTGACCATATTCTGATGTCTGTGGTTGGCATCAATTCTGAAGTCAGAAGTCCCTCGTACTATTTAAGAGATGATGATCATTTGCTAAGTGCACCACCTGCTTGGAGTTTGCATGTTCTCCCTGTGCCTGCATGGGTTTTCTTCCAGGTACTCCGGTTTCCTCAAACACTCCAAAGACATGCTGGGAGGTGAATTGGCTCCTGTCTAAATTGTCCCTAGTATGTATGAATGTGAGTCAGGGACCTTAGATTGTACGTCCCTTGAGGGTTAGGGACTGATGTGAATGTACAATGTATGTATAGCGCTGCGTAAATTGACGGTGCTATATAAGTACCTGAAATATAATATATTTCCAGTTTTTCTCGAATCCTTTCACTTTTGCTTCACAGCTTGGCTGGCATGTACGTGTGAGGGGAAAAATAATGGCAAGTAGGGTGGAAAACAGGGAATTCATATACTGAATACTATCATTATGAGTGCTAACCATGTATAGTGGCCAAAGACTGTAATCTAAGACTTCGATCACTAACCCTTCCTTCACGTTGATACTTCTCAGTGCAACTTACCCCCAAATAAATGTAAAACTCGGCTGTACTTCCAGAAATATGAATCATTTAAATTCAGGGTTTTAAAAGGATTGCAGCAATCACTGTAGTAGCACAGACTACTACAGTGATTGTCCCCTTCCACAGCAGTCCCTCAATTGTGAGATATGCAATGGTTCAAGCCGGACCAAGGGGACAATGCAGTAAAGGACATGGTAGTGACCACCTGGATTTTCTTGTGTTAACTGAACTGACTTTCAATTTCTTTTGTTTCCCCAGGCTGCTATATGGCAAGCGCTGAATCACTACGCTTACCGAGATGCCGTATTTTTGGCAGAAAGACTTTATGCAGAAGGTATGTGATTTAATCCTTGTAGACTTGCAGACATTGGTTCAAGTGGAAGAGTAAATGTGTGTCCATTCCTGATGGCTGAATGTTTGAAATTCTTTATTGGGCTCTTTTTAGGCTCCATGCACACTGGGGGGGGGGGGGGGGGGGGGGGTGTTTTAATAACGCTGCTAACGTTAGCTGTGTAGTCACGTTAAAAATGTGACTTTTTTTAGCTTTTTTGCATTATCTGTGTTTTTTCCGCATTTGTGATTCTAGCGTTTATTTTTTTTTTTAACGATATAAGTCCAAAAACTATGGTTTACCACGTTTTTAAGCATTAGAGCGCTTTTTACAGCTAAAAAAGGAATCCGTATTGGCACTTCCTATACTTTTCCTGATGGATCCTTTTTATTGGTATGCTCCAACGCTTTTCCTTTTCTCTTTTACTAGGCGGTTGTTGGGTCATGGCTGTATATCTGTTTTAATATCTGCGGGAAGATTGAGGGACTAAAAATGCTGAAAGTGTTACTTTATGAAAGAAAAGGGGAATTTAATGGTCAGGCTGCCACCAGTCATATGACTAATGCCATGACGTTTGATGTGTGGTCTGTGCTGATGATGGATGTGGAAATTGATTATGCTATAATTCAGGGCTTGAAAAAGCTGCTCGCCAGCTCGAGCAGCGAGCACAGATGGAGCATGGAGCGACTGAACCTGCGCTCCAAGCCTCATTGTGAAGCCGAGTTCCGGTTTACAACTTCCGGTTTCCGGCTTCTTCAGCTCCGCTGAGAGGAGACACCCTCTCCACTGCCGCGGGGGACTCGGAGGGACTAGGAGTAAGTACTGTATACAACATGTCCTATCACTATAATGGAGTACAGGGGAGCTGGGATATACATTACTGTGTACAGTTTTACATTTTGGACTCTTCTAAAGAAAAATTTAATTTCTTAAGCTTTAAGGGGGCGGGGTTTGGGGTGGGCCAGGGGTGGGGTTTGGGGCCGACCTTGGCAAGGTTGGGTGGGGCAACTGGTGGAGAGTAAGTTTTGTGACTGGCTAGTAGGTCTGGACTCGAAATTTTAACCCCTGCTATAATTGATGTTTCTTTTTGCAGTACATTCAGAAGAGGCACTGTTTCTACTAGCTACGTGTTACTACCGCTCAGGAAAAGCTTACAAGGCTTACCGGCTCCTGAAAACCCATAGCTGTGCCACCCCACAATGTAAATATCTTCTTGCTAAATGCTGCGTGGACCTTAGCAAGTAAGTAGGATTTTCTGTCCAGCTGAGTGCCTTGCTGGCCATACACAAAGCAATATTTTATCAGGTTTTCAAAGAATAATAAATGCAATTGATTCAGGATAACCACTACCAAACTTGCCTTGTAGGTGTTGCTATAAATAAACTGTTGGTGTAATAGCGGAGCTCCACCCAAAAGGGGAAGTTCCGCTTTAAGTCTTTGACCCCCCCACTCCCCATTAAGGATTGGCACCTTTGGGGAGTGGGTACCTGAATTTGACAGGTACCTGCTCCCACTTCCACTGCAACCGCCAAGGTGATCGGAAGCAGAAGTTGTCCTCTTCCTTCCCTCCCCGTAGTCTTCTGGGACACGTGACAGGTCCCAGAAGACTATGGGGCCTTTCACAAAGCGCAGCGCTTCTTGCTCATGGGAAGTGGGCACCCGGCTGTGAAGCCGCAAACTGTCACAGCCGGGTGCCCACACTGAAGATGCCGGGGGAGAGAAGACGCCAGTGAAACCGCTGGACCAAGGGACAGGTAAGTGGCTCTCATGTATGTGTACAGGAGCCAACATTGCAGCACAGCTCACTCTGCATTCAGGGCACACTTGCTGTGCCCTGAAAGTAGAGCATACTACGCATGCACCAGTGATGTCATTGGCTGGAGCTGATGCGAATATCTACTTAACAGCGCAAGTTTAGAAGATATTACCGATACCTACAGGTAAGATTTAAAAGCTTACCTGTACGTACAAATGTAAACAGAGTTTACTACCGCTCTAAAGCAGAACTTCCTTGAAAAGTTAACTGAACTGAAATAGTATTTAAAAATTAGTTAAACGTAATAGATTATTCACACCATATCTGTTGAACTGCATTTTTTTTCTGTGACATCATCACACATGAATTAGTGTGAACAGGACACAACAGAAAACATTATTTGTGTCTTGTTCACGCCATAAATGTTTGGTGGTGTTCAGAATCACAGCACAGGGTAACTTGCATAAACAAGTCCTAAATTTTTACAAAAATAATAATTGTCCCCGGCCTCTGATACTTCTGGGAGGGGCAGGTGACTTTAGTGCTCCTCCCAGGAAAGCTGATGGCTCGAAATTGGAATTATGAACCCCAGCTTTCCCAGGAAGCAGTGGTGACATCATCCACACCTCCATGGAAGCATCAGAAGCTGGGATGAGGTAGGTAATTTTCTTCTTTTTGTTTTTTCTCTCTTGGGGACATCATATTATTTCTGTCCGTTTTCGGTTAGTATATAGTCTGTGTTTTTTTTTTTTTTAAATTTATTTCAGGTACATATATATATAGCGCCGTCAATTTACGCAGCGCTTTACATACATATATTGTACATTCACATCAGTCCCTAACCCTCAAGGGGCGTACAGTCTAAAGTCCCTAACTTACATTTATACATATATACATCCTAGGGCCAATTTAGACAGGAGCCAATTAACCTACCAGCATGTCTTTGGAGTGTGGGAGGAAATTGGAGTACCCGGAGCAAACCCACGCAGGCACAGGGAGAACATGCAAACTCCAGGCAGGTTGTGCTGTGGTTGTGATTCGAACCAGCGACCCTAGTACTGCCAGGCCGAAGTGCTAACCATTTAGGCACTGTTTTGTGTTTTTTTTTTTTTTTTTTTTTTTTTTTTTTTTTTTTTTTTTTTTTTTTTTCCTCCTCTGTACACCCTTATGTCCTTGCGGAATCACTGTCACTGATTGTGTGTTTTTAGTTTTTTGTTTTTTTTCCATCTTTATACCTTCTCCCATTCACTATAGTGTCCCTTTTGGGTCCACTTGTCTTGTTAGCGTGTTAATCGTTGTCTCCTCTCCACTTGTAGGCTGGCAGAGGGTGAACAGATCCTGTCAGGCGGTGTGCTGAATAAACAAAAGAGCCAGGAGGAGATAGTTACAGAGTTTGGAGACTCGGCCTGCTTTACACTGTCGCTGCTCGGCCATGTATATTGGTAAGCTAGGACCTTTTTATATTGTGGCTTTCTTCTTGCTCAGCCACGGCGCTTCCTTGTTCTGATAACTGTGTGGTATGTGAAATATTCCAATACCCATTTGTGAAATTCTGCAGTTGGCTCTTCCCTCTTGACCACTTAAACTTGAGGGATATTGTATGCTGTTATTGTAAATGATTAAAATTTGACTGTATAAAGGGATGAAACTGCAAGGTGAGTACAGTTATACAGTCACAAAACCCGGAGGTAAATCCTTTAAAGAGAGTCTGTCGCGTTGGCCATCCAGAGCAAAATGATAGTTTCTTTCTGATTAAAAAAAGTTTCTTTACACATCCCTGACTTGTATACACCTTCCTGGAACGGTGTTGCAGCTGCCTTACAATGCTCTATAAGCTTCATAGTAAATGGTTTGGAGCTTACTTTGGGTTGATGATGTCATCCCCTCTCCCAGTTGAGTGTTCTGACCTGACAATTGACCACTCAGGCCCGAACATGGCATCATGGAAAGAGGTCACATTGGTGGATTTTGCAACTTCAGGGTAAAAATCAACAGTCTCTTCAAAGTAACAGTCTTTAAGTATTAGAGGAGAGTGTTCTTCCTGATAATTACCCACGCCTTACATCTAGGTCTTCCTTACTACCACAAACAGGGAGATATCTGTCCGTCCTTGGATGATTTACACAAGAATGAAACTTGCACACATACTGTATACATGAATGCACTTTATGTTTTTACTGTTCTTCCTCTCCAGCAAAACAGACCGTTTGGCCAAAGCATCAGAATGTTACCAAAAGAGCCTTAGTTTAAATCCCTTTCTGTGGTCCCCTTTTGAATCATTATGTGAAATAGGTGAGTCTTACTTGCACATATCACATAAGTAGAAGGATTGTATTGTATGTGTATGTTGTATGTTGAAATATTGACATCCTAATCTGGTAAATACAAAAACAAAAAATATTACAATTTTAAATATTTTATCATGAGCACTTGCAGCAAGCATTGGGCAGGCTGCAAGCGAAAGTAGCTGCCCTCTCCAGCTAAATATACAGGTGTGTATTGAAAGTCTTGGAGGGAAGAGGCACACAGCTCCTACGAGCCTCTAGCAGAGCTATATGACTAAAGCTGGGCATAGACTGATCAAAATTTTGCTGGTTCTCAAGGGACTGGCTGATTTTCAATCAGTGTGTGACCGTTTCCGCTCGACAGAAGTCAATCGTTTGCTCGAACTTCTGTTGAAGGGACAAGCTAGAAAATGTCTGTTGATCAGCAGCTGCTGATCATTGAATTCTGACAGTTCCGGATCCCGCTGTCAGAATACAGTCTCCTGATAGGAGGCATTCCTCCATCCACCATGAGACATTGGGAAAAACCAGAGAGAGGTTTCAGCATTCCACACTTTAACCAAAAAAAAATATGTAATATGTTGGCTTTAGATAAATTACCTGTGACTTTTATATTTTATTTTTTTGAAGGGTTCACTTTATCTCCACTTATTGTATGATGTAGGTGAAAAGCCAGACCCTGAGCAGACCTTCAAACTGACCTCCCTCCAGAACTTCAGTAGCTGCCTGAATAACTCTTGCACAGTAATGGTGAACAATCACAGTGTCGTATCTCACAGGCAACCTGACACAGTATTAATGGAGACTCCCCAAGACACTATAGTAAGTACGCCAACGGTGTGTAGTTTATTTGCTGTTGGGAATACTGTAATTGCTGGCATTCTGCGATTATGAACACTAGGAATCACTGCTGTTTAAGAGGTTCTCCTGGTAAAATTAGTTCAATTAATTTCATCACATGGTTTGCACATGTACATATAGTGCCACCATCACCCAGCTCATGACTTTCAAAGTGTAACTCCAGCCAAATCTTTCCCACATTTTGGCTAGAGTGGGGTTAGAATTTAAGTAAGGAGAAAATCTCCAGACATACAAACATATAGAAATTTTTTCTATTTCTTTTTGGCACTTTTGTCTCTGTTAGAGAAACTTACCCTTTTTGTCCCTGTTGGAGACAATATTATCAATGATAGGAACTGAGGGGATATCTCCCAAACAATGGGGCTTAACACTAAACATCCCAACAGACATTCTACTCGTTCCCTACTACCGTATTTTTCGCCGTATAAGACGCACCTGACCATAAGACGCACCTAGGTTTTAGAGGCAGAAAACAGGAAAAAAAAAATTCTGAACTAATGGACTGCAGACACAGCACAGGGATGACCAGAGACTGCGGACAGCACAGGGATGACCAGAGACTGCGGACAGCACAGGGATGACCAGAGACTGTGGACAGCACAGGGATGACCAGAGACTGTGGACAGCACAGGGATGACCAGAGACTGTGGACAGCACAGGGATGACCAGAGACTGTGGACAGCACAGGGATGACCAGAGACTGTGGACAGCACAGGGATGACCAGAGACTGTGGACAGCACAGGGATGACCAGAGACTGTGGACAGCACAGGGATGACCAGAGACTGTGGACAGCACAGGGATGACCAGAGACTGCGGACAGCACAGGGATGACCAGAGACTGCGGACAGCACAGGGATGACCAGAGACTGCGGACAGCACAGGGATGACCAGAGACTGCGGACAGCACAGGGATGACCAGAGACTGCGGACAGCACAGGGATGACCAGAGACTGCGGACAGCACAGGGATGACCAGAGACTGCGGACAGCACAGGGATGACCAGAGACTGCGGACAGCACAGGGATGACCAGAGACTGCGGACAGCACAGGGATGACCAGAGACTGCGGACAGCACAGGGATGACCAGAGACTGCGGACAGCACAGATGACTGCTGACCTGTGGGGAGCGGGTACCTGAATTTGACAGGTACCCGCTCTTACTTCCGCAGAGTTTTTGTTTGATCTTACCTGTTCCTCGATCCAGCCGCGCGCTGTCTTCCCGGCTTCTGTAATGGCGCTCGGCATGACAGCCGGGTGCCCAGTGCGCATGAGCGAGAAGCACTTGCGCTTTGTGATTGGTCCGGCGGCTTCTGGGATCTGTCATGTGTCCCAGGTACCGCCTTACCATTCACAAAAAGCACCGCTTCTTGCGCATGCGCACTTGGCACCCGGCTGTCATGCCCAGTGCCAACACTACAGAAGCCGGGAAGACAGCACGCCGCTGGATAGAGGAACAGGTAAGGTCCCGCTGCAGAGCTGAGCGGCCGGCCCGGTATTCTGACACGGCCGCGATGGAAATACCGGACCGGCCGCTCCATATTCGCTCTATAAGACGCACTGACATTTCCCCCCCAGTTTTGGGGAAGAAAAAGTGCGTCTTATACGGCGAAAAATACGGTATTTCAGAAACAAAGTTTTTACTTGGAGACCCACTTTAACTTGTTCCTAGGGGCTCTCTTCTGCCTGTTGAACTCTGTGGGGTTTGTTGAAGTCAAGCTCATGGCTAAGATCCCATCTATAAGCGTTATAACTATAGGCAAACTCTTTAAGTATTATTATTGTACAGGATTTATATAGCGCCAACAGTTTGAGCAGCACTTTACAAAATGAAGGTAGACATTACAGTTACAATACAATTTGGTACAAGAGGAATCAGAGGGCCCTGCTCATTAGAGCTTACAATCTAGGAGGGAAGGGTTGAGTGATACAAAAGGTAATAGCTGTGGGGGGATGAGCTGATGGAGGAAATAAAAAGGCAGTTTATTAGTTAGAAGCAGGATAGGCTTCTTTAAAGAGAGAGGTTTTCAAGGATTGCCTGCCTAAAGGTGGATAGATTAGGAGATAGCCGGACAGATTGGGGTAGGGAGTTCCATAGGATGGGAGAAACTTGAGAGAAGTCCTGGAGCTGAGCATGGAGGAGGTGACACGGGAACTAGAGAGCACGAGGACCGAAGAGAACGGCTCACTTGATATTTTGAGACCTGTATGTGAAAAGAGCAGCAACAGTAAATAAAATTGCCAGCCTTTATTTTCTCAAAGCAAGTTCCTTAATAAAATAAATATATTGTGATGCTGTGACTCCACATACTTTTTCGCACAGAGTAGAAATGCTGTTTCATCTTCAGTGTTGTCACCCTGTGCATTGGCACACCTTCTTGCCAATCAGAGCAGGACACGTTTGCATATGCATTGGAGCTGAGAGGCAATATCCAAGAGGGTTCCATGCATTGCTTCCTCCTAGTGCATAGCTTCCCCCTGGGTTTCGCCTTTGGCAGACTGATGACCTTGGTGACCACTGAGAGCCTCAGAGTGACCTTAAACACAATCTCCCTTATTTTTATATATTTTGGCAGGAATTAAATAGATTGAACCTGGAATCCTCCAATATAAAGTACTCCTTGAACACGGACTCCTCCATGTCCTACATAGACCCAGCAGTGATCTCTCCTGATGCTTTGCCTTTGGGAACCGGCCCCTCTATTTTGTCCAAACAGACTCAGAACAAACCAAAAAGTGGGCGCAGTTTATTGGGGGGTCCGGCAGCACTGAGCCCGCTCACACCCAGGTAAGATGATCTTAACTTTGCAATGGTTGGCCCGGAGCGGTAGTAGTTCTTGGCTTTCAGGAATGATTAATGGAGTCTGGTGGACAGTCGTTTACTGACTATTTAGATTTGTTGGCCACTTCTCGGAAGAGATCTTTTGCCATAGTTCCCAATTCTGTTTGTCTGTTTTGAGTGTGCTCGCTCACCTGGACATTCCCACTGTTCAATATATAAATTAAAAATCCATCATTGAGGATAGGCTTTGAAGGTGTGCATATTTGGTAACCTAAGTACAGAGAGCTTGTGGCTAGAGTCCTAGAGAAATATTGAGTGTTTTCATATCTTCAGGATCACACAAAAACTGGAACATCCATTTTAGGTAGACTAGGTGAACTTGGTGAAGCGTAGAGGTGCAGACCCTGGGGAGAGGAGCAGAGGATCTGGTAGGTAAATCTTTCCCCTAGGCATAAACAAGCAATTTAACCCTTGCAGTGTGGACACAGCCCTATTGCAAAGGATAGTATATTTGCCCGGAGTTTCAGTGGTGTTGTCTTCCTACCCCAGCTTGATGACTAGGGAATGAAGGAGCAGCAGCAACCTGTTGAGGTCATCTTTGTGCTCTGCCCTGCTGTATGAAGGTTCACAGCAGTGGAGGTTGATTGTCTGACTGCTGACACTCCTTTCAGTCTGGGTTCTTCTGTTCAGGGGATTAAAGAGGTAGCAAACACAACTTGGTCAGTTGTATCCAGGGGCGAACTGACCATTTGGAAACTCGGGCACTGCTCGAGGGCCCTGGATCAGTAGGGGACCCCATGAGATGCTCCTGGTACCTTTTTCGTAGGCTTTTTTGAGTTTGGGCATGGACACAGGGGCCCCATGATCCCCTAATGCCGGGGGCCCTATGAGTTGTCAGTACGCCTACAATAAAGCTTACTTGTAGGTACAATGAAGATCTCCTAAACGTACACCATTTAGAAGATATTCACAGCTTAAGCAGCAGTTGACGTCACCGCCGCATGCGCGGGTGTGACGTCATGGCAGCTCTGCCCTTTAAACAGCTGTAGCCCGCGAACTCGGAAGGAAGACCTGGTGAAGATGGAATTCCTGTCAGTGGTGACGGCGCCGCTGGAGAGATCTGTTTTTCGTAGGTAAGTCTTTCATAATGTGCTAGTAATAGCACATTATGTCATTATCTTGCAGGGAGAACTTTTTTTTTTTTTTCTTTTTTTTCCTTTAGGACTTAACTACCGCTTTAAGGAAAGCTTATTATAAATGCAAATTTGGGAACCTATGCTGGTTGTAGAGAAATATACATTCATTTTGTTGCCTGACTAGTTCTGTTCTGTTCATTTTATATTTTCTGTCAGTTTTGGATTTTGCCACTAGAAACACCCAGCCCGGGAGATGGTTCGTATTTACAGACATACAACTCCTCCTGTGTCCTTGATGTGCCATCCTCTGGTACCCCTGCTAAAAAGGTTTGCAATTCCCTCGAACATTTTTCTGCAGCACATATCATGTGAATTGCGTGATTCAATACTCACTGTGACCCTTTGATGTTCTCTCTCTAGTCTGTGGCCAGAATCAGCCAAGCAGGAACAAAGTCAGTGTTCTCACAGAGTGGCAACAGCCGGGACATAACCCCAGTGCTGCTACAGACTCAGGGTTCTGGACCTCAGACCAGGTATATAGAAATTGCTGCTCTAACTCGGTTTTTGTTAAGGGGAAGCCTCCCTGTAAATAGCGTAATCGCGGCCTGGCATTTCCCTCGTCCTAGAGCAAGGGTGTCAAACTGGCGGCCCTCCAGCTGTTGCCAAACTACAAGTCCCATGAGGCATCGCAAGACTGACAGTTACAAGCATGACTCCCAAAGGAAGAGGCATGATGGGACTTGTAGTTTCGCAACAGCTGGAGGGCCGCCAGTTTGACACCCCTGTCCTAGAGGCATGCTACATTTCTTCTTATCATGGAACAGAGAGAGGCCTAGCCTAGTAAAATCGTACAGGTAATAAGCAGTGTTTGTTAATGCAAAAACAGAAAGCCAGTTTATCAGGATAGTTGTAACTAACTGAAACTGCAATATGTTCTTTGGTTATGGTTGTTGAAAGTTGGACATACTGGATAAAATAATTTGTTGCCTATTGATCTTGAGTTCCCCTTTGTTATCCATAAAAAATAGAAAAATTTGTACTGTAGCTGGGCTCTTAAATGTATCTACAGCCAAACAGAGTTAAAACACCCACCAGGATTTTGTTACCATCTGTGTTCTTGCTGGAGAGATTCCTCCTGTTTGTTTGTCCTGGTATCCGTTGTTTTTCAGAATTGAAAATGATGGGGAAATACTAAATTTTTACAGTTGCCACCAAACAGGAGGTGAAGGGAAATCTTCCAACGGGGATACCTGTTCCAGTGACAACTGTCTAAGAGAGGGATTTACCCTTCTTTTGAATAGGTTTCCTCACTTCCTGTAGTGTGTTCAGGACAGGAAGTAATGTGAAATGTCTACAATGGGAGCAACACGTGTTTTATCTGAAATATTCAAAAGAGAGCCTGTAAGTTTTGAAAGGAAAATATAATCCTATAGGTAGCGTTAGCTTTTGAGTTATTATTTTTCTCATTTGCCCATAATTCCCTTGTACAGAAAAAGGTGTGACCTGCAGTTTCCTCCGCAAGAGATCAGCTAATATATATTTTACCTGCTGGAGAAAACTGGTTTTGCAGCCAGAGAAGGAGAAACCAAGAAAGGCAGATGTTAAAGCCAAAACTGTTTTAGAAGCTCCGCTGGGTTTAATTTCTGTCCTCTCTGAAGAGAATTACTTTTTGACCCAGTGACCAATGTCGCCAAGACTAAAAGTGAAGGAAAATCCAAAGTTGTCACCAGACCTGGAAAAGAGGAGAAATCTTCCAATGAGGGTATTTTTAGTGACAGCATTTCTTTCTCTTGGAGAGATTTCCTCCCAATTCTTGTGTCTGCAAGACTAGAAGTGAAGGGAAATCTCCCCACTAGAAATATGAAAAAAAAAGGCTTTAACCATACTCTTTGCTGTCATACCCTTTAAATTTTCAAAATATGACTGGAAAGTGATGTACAATGTAGTTTTAGTATATATTTGGAAGTTTTCCTTGTGTTTTTTTTAGCTTTTTTTTTGTTTGTTTTTTTTTTCTTCTCAGTACTACGCCTCAGGTACTGAGCCCGACAATAGCTGCCCCTCCTAATGCTTTACCTCGGCGTAGTTCCCGCCTCTTCACCAGCGACAGCTCTACCACCAAGGTAAGGCATGAGCTACACTGCTTGCTATTTTATTTTCTGGCCAAACTAAAATGATATGTAGGGTATTCAAGACATAATTTTTAGATATGGGTGGACCCATCCAAATACATTTTATGATTCTTGTGTATTTAAAAAAAAAAAAAAAAAAAAAATTTCTGGGCTGTTTCCACAATATGATTCCTCCACCCTCTGGTGTCTGCTCAGCTCTAAATTGTCAGGTTTGTTGAATGACCCTTGCAGATCAGTGATTTGAAAGGTGAATTATTATGGCTCGTTGAATAAACTGCATTCTTCTATGCTTTGCTACTCTTTCAGGAAAACAGTAAAAAGCTGAAAATGAAATTTCCTCCAAAAATCCCAAATCGGAAAACCAAAAGCAAAACTAACAAAGGTGGGGTCACACAAGCCAATCTAAATGAGAGTTTGGAAATAAGCAAGCTAGATGCATCTATTATCTCAGAGGGAAAGATCTCCATTGTGGGGCCTCAAATTCAGGCCCTGTCAATACAGAAAGCAGCAGCAGGTAATAAGTCTTCCTTTCCACAGTGTTTTGTTTTTTTTCATGGGGATGATACTTGTAAAACAGAAATCCAAAGAGTAGATGAACAATGGACACATGCATTTAGATGGAACAGAGGGGTTCTGGGGTTAAGATGTTGGTGTTTGGACAGGATGATCAGCATATAGTGAGGAGTGTAGGATTTGTTGAATAGAATAGTCCTGTAAATTGAGGGACCTGATGTATCGAGAAAGGAATGGGAGAAGAGCATTTACAGGGATATATCTAGAATGGAAGAGAGGTCTGTGAAGTAGAGATGGACTTGCTGTATAAAGAATGGAAGAGAACCTTGTGAAGTACCAAGAGACCTAGGGTATCTAGAATGGAAGAGCGACCTGTCAAGTAGAGGGGCCTGGAGTATATAGAATGGAAGAGATTCCTGTGAATTAGAGAGATTAACCTGGAGTATATGTAGAATGAAAGGGGCCTGTGCATAGAAATAGACCTGGAGTACCTCTGGAATAGAAGAGTGGCCGATGAAGTAGAGGAACTGGTAAACCCTGAATGTCAGAGATGCTTGTGAAGTATTGAGTCACTTGGGGTATATCTAAAATGCAAGAGAAGTCTGTCATATAGAGCAGTTCCCGAGGTATATCTAGAATAAAAGAGTGGCCTATGAAGTAGAGAGGGACGTGGGGTGTTTAGAGAGGGCCCAGGGGTATATCTAAAATGGAAATGAGGCCTGTAATGTAGAGGGGGACCTGAAATATATCTAGAATAGAAGAAAGGCCTGTTAAGAGTAGCTTGGTTCTTGGGTATATCTAGAATGGGAAGAGTGGTTCATGAAGAAGAAAGGGACCTGGGGTGTATTGAAAATGGAAGAGTGGCCTCTAATGTAGAGAAGGACCTGAAGTGTATATATACAGTGGAAGAGAAAAGCAGCCTGTGAAGTAGGGAGGTACCTGGGGTATTTTTAGTATGGCAGAAAGGCCCATGAAGTAGAGAGGGATCTGGGGTATCCATAATGGAGGAAGAAGTCTGTGAAGTAGGTGGGGAGGGAGCTGGGGTATATCTAACAGGGAGAGAAGAGAAGCCTCTAAAATGTTAGAGCCTATGGAAGGAAAAGGAATGGTGGGGTGGTTATGGAGGCTGCAACCAAGGTTCATATTCAAGTGGTAACCCTGAAGTTCTTGACTCATTTTAGGCGCTTGACTGCTGATGTTGTAATCCACCAAATTGAATCAGCACTAGAAAGCTGAAATTACACCTGGAGCTTAGCTGCTGAAATGATTTTGTTATTCCAGCAGGTAAGTGTACCATACACCACAACTTGACCTAGGGATTAGGTGTTGTGAAACTTAGTTATGTGGTACACTTGGTTCATGTAAGACACGTGAATAATTCTGCTGAAATCAGAGTAACATATTTTAGGTAATGCTAAATGTTTATGTTCATTCCTTTTTCTTTCCAGAAGGTTTAATGAGCCTATTGAGGGACATGGGGAAGGGTTATTTGGCCTTGTGTTCCTATAATTGTAAAGAGGCCATCAATATCTTGAGCCACCTCCCCTCTCATCACTACAACACTGGTTGGGTTCTGTGTCAGATCGGCAGAGCATATTTTGAGATGGCAGAGTATTTACAGGTAAGTATCGAGGCCTCTTTGTAATACGTATTAGGAATTTCACATATCGTGATCTACACATTGCTAGCAACATTGAATGTGAGAAATATATTGAAATTATGTGGAAATTATTCTAATAGTTAATTGTACACACATAGTGTATATAGTATATTTTTTCCAGATTGTCCAGTACACTATAGATAAATTACAAATGCTGTTTTGATAAACTGCTTTATTGAAGGATAAGTACACTTTTTTATTGCTCTTATCTTTGGCCATAACACCCCCCCCCCCCCAGCACTTTTAGTATAGGTTATACTTACTACAATCATTCCCCTCGAAAAATGTCCCCATATGTCTGCCTCAGACTGTTTGATTTAATGAATCATCTTGTGTTCTAAATTAGTCTCCTCTCTTTTGCAGGCAGAACGCGTGTTCTCAGAGGTGCGCAGGATTGAAAGCTATCGAGTAGAAGGCATGGAGATCTACTCAACCACACTCTGGCATCTGCAGAAGGATGTCGCCCTGTCAGTTCTCTCAAAGGACCTCACTGACATGGACAAGAACTCCCCAGAGGTACAGACTTTGTAAAGGGGTGAGGGGCTGCAGTCAATCATCAGCAGGCAGGTTTCTCATCCCTTGGGATGTTGCTATCTGCTCTCTGATGGACTTTAATGGTATATTACACAGACAAATAAAGGAGCAAATATGAGAAGTTCATGGTTCGGTTTTTCTCATCTGCCTGCAAAGTTGCCTATTAAGACTATGACAGCTGTCTAGTATCTTTGGCCAGTTATTCTGTAAACCTAACTGGGTCAGGTGCTGATGGGAATATGTTACTGTATACAGAGGCGTGCCATAAGAGGGGGAGAGGATTACAGAGTAATTTAGAGTTTGTGTAATTTCAGGCTTGGTGTGCTGCTGGGAACTGCTTCAGTCTGCAGAGAGAACATGACATTGCCATTAAGTTTTTCCAGCGGGCTATTCAGGTAGATCCTGGTTATGCATATGCCTTCACTCTCCTCGGCCATGAATTCGTACTAACAGAGGAGCTAGATAAAGCCCTTGCTTGTTTCCGGAACGCCATCCGTGTCAACCCTAGACACTACAATGCATGGTGAGTGACACCTTTTGGAATAAGTATATGCTTTATCTTTTGGACTGTTAATTTCTCTTTTTGTGTGTGTGTGTGTGTGTGTGTGTGTGTATATGTGTGTATGTATATATATATATATATATATATATATATATATATATATATATATGTATATATGTGTGTATGTATGTATGTATGTATGTATATATATATATATATATATATATATATATATATATATATATATATATATATATATATATATATATATATATATATATATATATATATATATAAATTTATTTTTTAAATTAATGTTACTGAAAAATTTGAGAACAGTGATGTGGGTTGTGTTTTTGTTTTTTTTTTTTTGTATTTGTTGTTTTTTTTGTTTTTTTAACATCACTGCCTTACTGAGGGGGGTTAAAGCGGAATTTCACTCTCTCAGTCAACAGTAACTATTTGTAATCCTTATGCTGTGATCATTAGTAAATAGGAAAGTATAATATATTTACTTGTTGTTGGGGGGTTGTTTGGTTTTTTGTTTTTTTTTTTCAGTTACTTCTTGGTTTCCATGCCTAGGAAAAATTATATCATCATATTATGATCTATTATCATAACATCCCAGGAGTCTTCAGGTGGGCAGGAGGGGGTTTCTCAGCTAAGGCAGATGGATTGCAGGTTCCAGGAAGTAAACTCATCTGCTCTTAAGATGGCTGCGGCCAGAAATGCTAGAGGGAGGTTTTTCAAAGTGATTTCTACGCAAAATGGAGAGATGATTGGTTGGGTGTGTTTTGCTTTGAATAATAAAAATTAATTAAATAGTGTTTTTGATTTGTGCTGCTTAGATGCAGTGTAGTTCCCTTTTTAAGTTGCTGTACAATCATACATTTGTCCATCTTGAGATTATAATTGTTATCCTTGTTGTTTTGCTGTTGAAGGTATGGTCTTGGAATGATATATTATAAGCAGGAGAAGTTCAGCCTGGCGGAAATGCATTTCCAGAAAGCACTAGATATCAACCCTCAAAGTTCAGTATTGCTTTGTCACATAGGAGTGGTGAGTATGTATGTGTATATCTCCAAATCTCATAAGGTACAAAGGTGCTAAATACATTCAAGTGTATACCAACCAACAAGTAAAGCTAACATCTAGATACATACTAAAAAATAGTCAAAGTCCTTTAGTGTGAATAAAGTGCAAATGCCTGTAATACAAGCCATGCATGTGTCATTTTTTTTTTTTTTTTTTGTTTTGTTTTTTTGTGCTACGTCCACACGTACCTCATTTGTGTAAAATATAAAGTGCCGCATCCTTCATAAAGTGCAGCAACAAATATGTCTGAAGGGATCTTCTATCATTTTTTTATTTTGTCTCTATCTTGTACTATATCTCTAAGATATACATACAGTAGCTGAGAGGGTTAGGTCGTAGGGAAGAGGAGTTGAAATCCTATTCTGATGTTTTAAGCAGAACAGACTCTAGAGTTTGGCAATCTAAGTGGTAATATTCAACCCATTTTTAACCACTTTTGAGCTGATGGGTTATTGCTAGAAACTAAGCATTCTGCCACCTATGAATTTATTGCCACCAGAATTTGCTCAGAACTGGGCAATACATTTTATAGCTTCAATGAAAGTTTTTGAAGATTCATATTGAAATGGGATGGAAACTGGGGGCCTGCAGCAATCCAAAAGTTCTGTCAGGTCAGTTTTATTCACACCTCACTGTGGTCCAATCAAAACCACCATTTCTTCAATTGCTTTGTGATTTGGACAAAATGGAGTTCAGCCCTATGTCATGTGGTCTGTCACATCCCCAGATTCTTTCTATTGGATTGTAGAATTTTCTGTTTCCTTTCTTCTGTCAATTCACCAACCGTTATTTTAATCTATGTGTGAAAGAACAGTTGTACTGTACATTTAGCAGCTTGCTGTATGATTTATAGCACAACACATCTACTGTTTTTTGGAGTCCATTGAACACTTTCACACACAATAGGCAAAAAAAAGATGTATTTAAAAATATATTTAGGACGTGTGCAGACTTTGCTCCCTAGCATGCCAAACCTGAGCGGTGCTGAACTAAAAAGCTCAATTCCTGTGTAAACAGTGTTGTCTGTCAGTCAAAGGTACTGGAGGGGTGGAAACAGACACCATTTCCCAGGGAATTAGAGCTTTATTACTGGTTATATTTAGGGAATCCAGCTAGTGCTTTATTTGAAAACATTCTGTTCCTCCAGAAGACTAGATTTGTTTTTTTCTTTTTTTTTTATGCATATTTTTATATAACCACTAAAATGATTACAAGAAAATTGCTTAACTGTTTTGTATTTGTTAATAGGTTCAGCATGCACTTAAAAAATCAGATAAGGCTTTGGATACTCTTAACAAAGCCATTTCTATTGACCCCAAAAACCCGCTATGCAAGTTCCACCGAGCCTCCATCCTGTTTGCCAATGAAAAATATAAGGTACAGAATTCTGATCTTTTTATGGTTAGCAATGCGTCTGGTGCTTTTTATATTGTTGCAAATGTTTTTATTTATTTATCTTTTTTTTATTCTAGTCTGCATTGCAGGAGTTGGAGGAGTTGAAACAGATTGTCCCTAAAGAATCCCTAGTGTATTTTTTGATAGGAAAGGTAAGTGAAGTGTGTGTGTGTGTGTGTTGTTCACATGCAAAAATGGTATTCTGGACATCCCCAAAGCTGTGGCATTTATACTATGTATCAGTAAGTTTATGTAAAGTGCAATAATCTATAACAAAATGTATTTATTTTCTGAACTGGCTTCAACAAAGTATGATTTGGTTTTTGTTCTTTTCACTTTGCACAAGGTACCTGCACTCTGTAAGTTAAAGTGGAACTTGGTCCAAAATATGGCTAGAACTCTGTTTAACGTTCCTGTATTTGATTATTACAGTGTGGACTATTTTTAATGTTTATCTGTTTTAGAGAGTGGGGCACCAGAGATTGAAGATGCTGGTTGTGCTATATGCACATTGTGTTCACTGATCTTTTGGGTTCCCATTTTCTAATCCAGTAGTAGTCCTATTAATGTACAGTTCAGGAGCTAGTCATTTTTGGTTTAGGAAATGTGGCCTTTGCACTTCCATTGCCAACAATACTCATTGTTTGAACACAGCCATTTTTTTTTCAGTGCATCTTCTACCTGGGATATGTTTGAATCTTTCCGAGAACATTAACACTTTAACATACAGTATGTTGGTTGCAATGTCTAACATATTAAAGTCTAGTGTTACCTTGTACATACCCTCCTTAGTCCCCAAGTTGTGCTGTACTAATATACAGGAGCAAGCATAACCTAAAGCTGCAGCTTTCATCTGATTTTCTGACTTTTCTAGTGGCACAAAATTCTGATTTAAAAAAAAAAAAAAGACTCTGGAAATTTGGAGAAGGCTGAGAGTGACAGGAGGTCTTTTTTGTTTGTTTTTTTGTTTTTTGTGCTACGTCCCACATGCACCTCATTTGTGTAGAATATAAAGTGCCGCATCCTTCATAAAGTGCAACAACAATTACGTCTGAAGGGATCTTCTATCATTTTATTTTGGATCTATGAATCTACTGGAAATTTTTTTTTTTTTTGCGCCAATTATCTTAATTACTGTAAGAGGGTGACTGTTTTGTTCTCTATGGTTCCACTGTATGTAGGGGTGAGGCTACCCTCTTTTGCTCACTCCTGAGATAGACTCTGAGTTCGTAGTGTACACAGAGCTGTGCACGTGATCATAAGACAATTGCACTGCTCGTTCCAAAAAAAAGTGTGAACAGGAAAATGAGAGATTTTGGAGCTCATGGCAGACTTCAAAATAAGGCAGAAAAACACGGAAATAGTTTGAGATATTCAGGCCATTACGTAGTGGATTTATATGAATAATTTTGGAGAATAAGGATATTGGTTAGTGTAATTTTAAGTCCTTTTACTGTGTTGATGGTGTGCCTGTCGGTATGCTCAAAAAGCACTGGTGTCACTGGTTCTCTGTGGAGGACTTAATTGGCTAAGACACAACGTAAAGGTAAGCTTCTTTGACACACCGGCATCTTCAGTTAACATCCTTAATCTCTTATCCATATTCCTATCAGGTGTACAAGAAACTGGGTCAGACACATCTGGCCCTGATGAACTTTTCCTGGGCCATGGACCTTGATCCCAAAGGAGCCAACAACCAGATTAAAGAGGCCATAGACAAGCGCTACCTGCCAGACGATGAGGAAGCTGTGACTCAAGAAGAACAAATCAGTGAGGGCTACCCTTATGAAACCGGTGAGAAACCTCTATGGTAGTCTCCAAAAACTATCAATCTGCCAGAGATAGGCTGTGTGTGTGTGTAAACAGTACACTGATTGTCTCAGTACGTGTGGAGAGAGTGGGAGCTCTTCTTGAGATCGTGTTCAGGTAAGTATAATGGGGGCTGGGGGGGAGAAGCTTACTGAAGGCTTTTTACCTTAATGAACTACTTTAATTACAATTGCTAGTTATATAGTAGGGAAAATGGCCCCAAATAATTATTACATCGACGAGTATCTAAACTGACGATCTCCCAAAATATGAATCGCTGCAACCTGGATTCGTGATTTGCATGTTTTACCCTTCTTTTGTGCAGTTCAGCACTTAGACATTGGGGTTCACAATTGTCTTTGAATATCAGGTACCTAATTTCCTGCGAATGGTTGATCAATTATACCAGCTCTTATACGCTGCAGTATAAATGTGAAATGTCACAAGCTAAAGGATAAATATGACATAGAACAGTCTATTATTTGCAGCAGTTATCAGTGGCCTGCAGAGGGAGCCAGGCTGAAAGCTAATTAGCTTTTTTGTTTTTTATCTTGATGGCCAGGCTATTTGAGGAAAGGCATGTAGGGCTCTGATATCCTTTCTGTAAGAGCGTGCTGACAGTGTTCTCACATCTGACGCGGTCAGCTTGAACAGAATGATTAACACACGTTTCTGTTTTGTTTTTGTCAAGTGGGGACGGATGAATCGCAAGAAAGCAGCATGACAGATGCAGATGACACACAGTTGCACGCGGCTGAGAGTAGTGACGAATTTTAACTCTGTCCTTGCTCCCCACCGGACATGTGGCGCTGGGGTGTCTGACTGTTATTTTACTCCACACTCCCAGCCTCTCACCCTTGCCTTCTCAGATGCCTGTCGCAGGCCGGCACTTTGTATCATCATTCTCCATCATCATCATTGCCTCTGACATCATTATCAGCCATTCCTCTCCCCTCTTCCTTCTGATTTTAAAGTCCTGCAGAAAATTAAAGACTGTGCAATATGTGGGTCGCACTCGGTTGGCTTCCTTTTTTTTTTTTTTTTTTTTAATTCTTGGCCTTTTGAGGTGCCTGGGGTTGCCAAGGGGTGTGCAGTGCAAGAGTTGAACCCTGAGTGTGGCCTGGTCAGGCTGAAGAAGAAGCTGAACCAAGTCGGGATGCAAGACTTTTTACTTGATCAAGCTCCCATTATCTGTGGATGGATACATAATTGCCACATCTTCAGATCCATTGGACCCACCCTCCGTTTTTAGATGAGAATTTTTTTTTTTTTTTTTTGCCTGGATAATATTTATTCAGCCAATGGTTCTAAAATATAAGCAAATGGTAGGCAGTCTGAGCTTATAACCAAGAGTCTCTTATTAACTTCAACCCCCATACAGTGAACCCCAGAGTCCTTCTTACATGGAACCTTAAAGGGGATCTGTCATAAAACAATGTACTAGTTCCAAAGACATGAATTTGAACTTGTGAGAGTCCTGAAGTTTCCCTTCTTTGTGACAGATCCCCTTTAACGTTAGTTGCTTTGATTATATATGTCCTATTCATTTTATATGCCCCTTCCCCTGAGACCAGACCTCCAGTTCTGTATGCTTTGTGCAAGGTCCATTCTTATTTATAGTCAAATTCCACCTGTCCGCTGCATACTTGCAGGTATTTGTATTCTGCATCAGGGACTGTTCTTATTGGCCATGAACACCAATCCGCTTGTCATTTTGCAGTCTTGGTTGAGGAGAAGAAGATGTGAATCTGGTTGGTGTGGGAAAATAAGAACCATTCCTAATTTTTGGATACATTGGGTATTTTGTGAGTTACATTAATTCGGTCCACTATGAATCAGAAATGTATGAATATATGGTTTGCTTTACTAATGTATCAAGGCTTTTGTGCATATAGGCCAAGCAATTTAATTTACCCTGAAAGGATGAATACATTTCCTGAAGGAAGGTACATGCAGTAGACGAGGTGTTCTACTCCCAAACTTGTATCTCCTTCCTTTCCTCCATTCCAGTGTTGCATCTTCCACCAGTATCTTTGGCATTTAACACTCCCGAGAGTGTTGCATGACTTTGTTCTCCACAGCACCCTGTGTGTTCCTGTCCATTATGTCATTGCGGTCTTCTGTAGTGACCTAGGTATTAGAGGATGGAACCACAGGGCAAAGTGCAAGACACAGGCATCTGACAATCTCTCGAATTTGTTGAATGCTGAACAGACTAGAAGATGCTGCATTCCTGGAACAAGGGAAGATAGACACATGCTGTTGGAGAGGTGAGTATAATTGCATCTTCTACTGTAGATACCTTCCTTTTTGTAATAAAACATTTTTTTTTCCCAGACAGGATTGCTTTAAGTCACTGTAACAGTACATCTTAGGCCACAATTTTTAGCTGCATAAAATTATTTACTTTTTTGTATGTGTAGATGACAGGTTGACTCCAAATGTGAACATATTTTAATCTTTTATAAGTAAGGTGCCTGCATACTCTTACAAAGCCCCTTCTGTACACCTCTCTGAAATTGGTTTTACTGTGTTGTGGCAGGCATGGTTTCCCTGTCTTTGGAACAAAGTACCAGCTACTTACTACCTCCTTAGCCAGTAAACACTTCAGTGGCGTGTAAGGGTCACGTTGGGTGAGTGGGTTTTAGCCCTTAAGTCACTAACATTTAGGTTTTAGTAAGAAAGTGACATTTTTTTCAGAGGTGCACAGATCAAACCATAGCAGACAGTTTTTGGTGTCTACGCTGCAATGCATCATTTTACATTTAAAAGTTTAAAATAACAAAATTGTCTCCTAAGTAAAACTGTCTTTTTTGCAGCTGTGGACAGCCTCCATCTATGTTTACCATAGGAAGACACAGAGGTGCATTTCTCACAAGTGTGAGGAGTATTCAGGATGCTGAGTGTTGCACTACTTCAGTTTGTTTGACATAGGACAGTGGGATCCCATCATCACAGGTGGTGTCCAGGGAAAGCGTGCCCTTTTGGTAAAGTCATATGAAGTGCTAAAAAGTGCCATCTCACATCAGCCCAGATTTGGTCCATTACAGGATGGACCTGAATCTCTTGCCAGAGTGATACCCTGGAAGCTGTTACTGAGCTGAAAATGCTTGCGCCCTGGCTTTTAGTTTTTCAGCCACTCACCCAGGTAGGCCTGTTGGTAGTTCTGAGATCAGTGCATACGTTCTTGTTTTGGGCCCGTGGCTCAGAATGTTTGAAGCCAAAGGATTAGGATGACAACCAGGTAGTTAGCATTTTCACAGAAATCCGCGTTGGCAGCCTCCTTTTTCTGTCATAACACGTTCCCTTAGTTATGACAGACTGTTTAGACAGATGTGATGTAATTACAGCATTCCCACAATGTACCACTGTAGAGCAGAACTGTTTGTAATCCATCAGTGGGCCCCTATCTATCATTCTGTTTCAGTTTTCT